TGCAACAATTTTATTTAATTCTTATTGGAGGGACCATGCCCCCGTGATTCGCCAATTCATTAGGCAAATACTAACATGGATGTCAAAATTGTTTGTGCAAAATTTGAGCATTCTAGCTCCAATAGTTTCCCCGATATACGAATTTTTGTATTTAATTCATATGGGATTTTTGGGATATTGATATCAAAGTGCTCCGACAAAATTATTATAGTTTCCCAGATATGTATAAGAATTATGGTATAAACTATATATGGGGGATGACACGCTCACTATTTCTTATCTGCCCATTTTTGCACAAAACATTTATATTGACACTAAAGTTTATCTTACAAAATTTGGGAACTGCTACTGTTATAGTTTTCCAAATTTACGTCATTTTTTATTTGGCTTGCAATATAGCCGTAGAATGTGCCACAACCACTATTGCAAGTTCGCCTATTTTTTCTCTAGTTTTCATATGGATCAGGAATTTCTGGAAACTTGTGTTTTCCCCTCATTGTAATACTTTTTGTTCTGAATAAAATGTGATACGAATGGTTGTCATATCTGTAATATTTGATTTTATATAATTTTTTTTTTTTTTTTTGTAAATTAACCGAAAAAAGCTACTATTAAAAAGTCGCCACTTGAATAGAACATCCCCCAGAAAAAGTGATTTTATAGCAACTTTTGTAATTAAAACTTATTGATTTAGATTATTTACAACGATATAAATTAAACTAAGCTGAACCTCCTTGGTTGACTAACACTTCACAAATCCAGTTTGGAAGTGATTCATATAGCTTGGCCATGTAATTCAGTTGTACTGAGCTCCAGACTTCTTTAATTGCATTGATTAGTTCAGGAATTGTTTATTACTGTTTTCCAGACTCATAAACTTTCCAGGCAACCCATTCCCACAAATTTTCTATAATGTTTAAGTCTAGTGAATATGGAGGGCAGCTCAACAATTCAACATTTTGGAACTCTATACAAGATTTTACGAACCGGGCAGTGTGGATCGGGGCATTATCTTTTTGTAGGATCCAAGGGCTAGGTCCATTTAGGTCACTGAAAACCGAAAAAAGCCTTTTTTATTAACCCAAAGTAGTTCTTAGCATTTATTCTTGAACTTAAAAACTGAAGCTCGAAGGTGCCATAATAGGAAACTGTTCCCCAAACCATGACACCACCAACACTGCTATGTAAGTACTATTTTCATGACCTTCGGAAGGAACCACATTATATGGATCATCTACATAGCAGCGTTGGTGGTGTGATGGTATGGGGAGCAATTTCCTATTATGGCACCTTCGAGCATAAGTTTTTAAGCTCAAGTGTAAATGCTAAAACTACATTGGGTTAATAAAAAACGCCTTTTTTGGTTTTCAATGACCTATATGGACCTAGCCCTTGGATCCTACAACAAGATAACGCCCCGATCCACACTGCCCGGATCGTAAAATCTTATTTAGAGTTCCAAAATGTTGAATTGTTGAGCTGCCCTCCATATTCACCAGACTTAAACATTATAGAAAACTTGTGGGAATGGGTTGCCCGGAAAGTTCATGAGTCTGGAAAACAGTATTCAACAATTCCTGAACTAATCTATGCAATTAAAGAAGTCTGGAGCTCAGTACAACTGAATTACATGGCCAATCTATATGAATCACTTCCAAACAGGATATGTGAAGTGTTAGTCAACCAAGGAGGTTCAAAACATTACTAAAATAGCTTAGTTTAATTTATATCGTTGTAAATAATCTAAATCAATAAGTTTTAATTACAAAAGTTGCTATAAAATCACTTTTTCTGGGGAATGTTGTTGTTGTTGTTGTAACAGCTTAAACTATACAATTTTAATCCGGGGGTTCTGTATTTAGGTCCAAGCAAAGAAATTGGGCTACTTCAATTGGGTTAGTCCATAAATCCATTGGGCTAAGTGAAGTAGGGTGGGCTGGACAGTTGAATATGTGGTGTGTATCATGGGGACCCTGTGTCTACAAGATGGGCATATATTGGGGACGGCACGGTCTATGCGGGACCAGTAGGCGTTGAGCCTGTTGCTCCATCCCGATCTCAGTTGTGCCAGAGCAACTCTTGTTTTCCGCGGCAGGTTCTTCTCTATTTCTGCTATGGGCGGTGGGCGACCTCCAAGAACGACATTCATGCGGTAAGCTGAAACCGCGGTATTGATGGCGTCTCTATGAATGTCGTTCAAAGCTGCTGTATACGAAGTCCGATCTAAGGGATATTGAACATAACTTCGTATGCTCTCTTCGAATACACGAAGGTCCTTCCTGACATGCCTCGGGGGAGCATCCAACTGTGTGATGTTAAAGTTGGGATGACTCCTCCGGTAACATCCCAGGAGGAACTGTTTAGTCAGCATGACATTATGTTCCTTGACTGGGAGGACCTTCGTTTCCTCATGTAGATGGTGTTCTGAGGTTATTTGCATGCAGCCCGTTACAGTCCTTAGGGCAGCATTTTGGCAGCTTTGAATATTTCTCCACTGGGTATCACTCAGCGATGGAGACCACACTGGAGCAGCATAATTGACCACTGACCGGCCGGCTGGGGGAGGAGGAGCGTCTCAAGAGTCTTCGCGACTGGTGACAGGAGGGAAATCGGCCTGTAGGATTGACCCTCTGTCGCGTTCTTCCCTGGTTTCAGTATCGAGATGACTCTACCCTTTTTCCAGGCATTGGGTATTAACAGGCTGCTCATTGACAGGTTAAAGACCATTGTCAAGTACTCCACTCCCCGTTCGCCAAGGTGTTTCAGCATCAGCATGGATATGCCGTCGGGGCCAATCGCCTTAGATGGTTTGGCTGCGTTGATGGCCTCTGCAACTTCAGAAGGGGTGAAAGGTTGTGGAATGTCCGAGACTGGAAGGTTGTGAAGTTTGCGAACAACACTTCGTTTCGCCTTATCTCTCTCTGGGTGCTCAATAAAAAGTCGGCAAAATGCACGCGAGCACCGTTCAGGGTCGGAAATAGTGGTATCTGCAAACTTAATCGCGACCCTGTCATCCTTCTTCGTCGGGTTGGAGAGAGACCGAACCGTAGACCACAACTTACTAACACCTGAGCTCAAGTTGCAGTTCTTCAAATGATCTAACCATTTATTCCGCTTGTCCTCATTTACCAACCTGCTATTTCGGAGGTCATCGCGCTCGTCTGCTAGTCCCGCTGCCTCTGCTAGGAAGTGCGGCCGCACTAAGGATAGTCGACCAGCAGGAATAAAGCGGGCTGCTGCTGCGATGACAGTTTCGCGGAACTTGCTCTCTGCTTGGTGTACGTTGCTAGGAGCTGGAAGATCATTGAAGATGCGATCAGTGAATTCTCTGAAGCCGGGCCAGTCTGCTTTCCTTTGGTTTATGTAGAGACGGCGTTCAGAGACGATAAAGTCATTGGCTCGATCCAGACAAACGATTATGGGTAAGTGGTCTGAGGCTAGAGAAACTACTGCTCTCCAAGTTGCGTAGTTTATCAGACCAGGGCTCGCTATTGTGATGTCTGGAGAGCTGGCGCAGTTACCCATAATCCGTGTGGGGGCATTCTCATTTATTGTGCAGAAGGTGGATTCGTCAATTTGTTCCGACAGTGACGCGCCTCTCTGGTCTTCCCCTAGACTAGAGTGCCAGAGCTGATGATGCGCGTTAAAGTCCCCAAGGACTAGACGCATATCGCCGTCTAATAATGTCCTAATGTCGGGACGGTAGCCTGATGGACAACTGGCTACTGGCGGAATGTAGACATTATAGAGCTCTAGGTCGGTTTCCCCCGATCTGACTGCAATACCTTGGACTTCAAGGTATTGGTCCCTAGCGTTGAGATCAAGGGAAAGAGCTCTATACTGCACTGTGTTGTGAATTATAAATGCAATGCCCGCACCGTTGCTTCTGGTGCGGTCTTTTCGGAGAACGTTGTAACCGTTACAACTGTGCAGACTGGAATTACTCGTCAGTTTTGTCTCCTGGACCGCAGCGACCACGATGTTGTTTTGCTGCATAAATCTGGTTATCTCGGGTAATTTACTCTGGAGGCCATTGCAGTTAAACTGCAATATGGATATCACCCCAGGTCTCTGGACCGCAATCGATGGAGTCAGCGGCGAGGGTTGTTGTTGCTGCTGAAGATGTTGTGTTTGCTGCGGTTGTTGTGATTGCGGTGGGGACGGTGGAGGTGTGGCGTATGATGACGACGATGTCGATGATACCAATGAATTTCGTCGCTGTTGTTGGCAGCATGTGGCGACAAAAGTCTCCGACCACTCCCGATGATGATTTAGTCCAGAGCAGTTTCTGAGGTGACACCAGAACAAACAAGCGTTGCACCGTAATTGGGTGGACATATGGTGCAACCGGTTCTGGCAAACTGTACAGAACCATGGTCCGGGATTTAGTTCGATTCCGGCACGGACCAATAGGATACGGAGCAGCAATGCCGGAAGATGTTGCTCCGTTGGTAAAAATGTGTAGTTGTTGCTGAGGTTGACAGCCCTTGACCGAAAAATTTCGGGTCATTCCGGTACATAGAACCGGCTGTCGGGGAATGTTCTACTCAAGTGGCGAATTTTTAACAGTAGCTTTTTTCCGTTAATTTACAAAAAAAAAAAATATAAAATCAAATATTACACATATGACAACCATTCGTATCACATTTTATTCAGAACAAAAAATATTACAATGAGGGGAAAAAACAAGTTTCCAGAAATTCCTGATCCAAAAATATAAAAAATATAAAAAAAATATAAAAAAAAAATATATATATGTGCTATTCAAGTGGCGAGGAGTGTATGTGTCAAAGTTGTTCGTGCAAAATTTGAGAACTCTAGTCGTACCAGTTTCCGAGATATACTACTTTTAATAGTTATTTAGTAAGTGGGCGTGGTACCTCGCGTACTTAGAATTTCAAAACAAAGAGTAGCCTATTTTTCCTTCCATGTATACAGGAACAGACGGCTATAGACTTCAAATAAACATACATATGTACATACAAACAAATACACATTAATTTTTATATATAGATGTATTATATGTTTATTTATGCATATTCTTCTAAATAGCAATGAGATTCGTTTTTTAATAAATATAATATATTCCATCACTTGAAATGCAAAAGGACGTTACACTTTTTAAAATTTTAAGGGAGAGAAAAACTTATGTCTGTTCTGTAAATCGAATCGATTTCAAAACAGAGAAGCTCCTGTCTGTTCTGTAAACCGAATCCGATTAAATTTCTCGTTTAAAAACGAGTTCTCATATTTTGTCTCGTTTTAAAACCGAGTACACATATCTAGTCGAAAGTAAATAGAATTTAATTTTATTCTAATAAATTAAATATAAATTAAATAATTATTTTTTGAATTTTAATACAATTGTAACTTGTTTTAAAAGCTTCTTGGTTTTGAATACGAATCGAGTTACAGAACAGACATGGCTATTAAAACCGAATTTGGTGTTCTGCAAATCGAATTTTTATTTGAACGTAAAATTCTGAAAAATAATCATATCTTAAGTGAAAAAGAGTTTAAAATGCCCATAGCGTTTATATTAAGTTACAATTGTAGTAAAAAACGCAAAAAAATAATTTTTTAATTTATTTGAATAAAATTAAAATCGATTTACTTTCGACTAGATTTGTGTACTCCGTTTTAAAGCGAGAAAAATTATGAGAATTCGTTTTTAAACGAGAAATTTTCTCGGATTCGGTTTACAGAACAGACAGGTATATAAAACGAAAACGGTTTTTGTTTAAAAATGATTATTATTATCACCCAAGATTTTATTTAATTGTTGTTATTCTTTTTTTGACTTGTGGAACTTATTTTTTATTTTTTTTTATTAACTTATTTTTTGTTGCGCCCTGTTAAACATCTAACGTCAGTAAAAATTCGTAATGACATGTGCTTTGACGCAATCATTCCTTTCTGTTCAGTAAATCGATTCGGTTTCAAATCCGAGGAACTTTTAAAACTGAATTTGGTGTTCTGCAAATCGAATTTTTATTTGAACGTAAAATTCAGAAAAACCATCGTATTTTAAATGAAAAAGGGTTTAAAATACTCATAGCATTTATATTAAATTACAATTATATTAAAAAATATAAAAAACAATTATTTATTTTAATAAAATTAAAATCGATTTACTTTCGACTAGATTTGTGTACTCGGTTTTAAAACGAGAAAAATTATGAGAATTCGTTTTTAAACGAAAAATTTACTCGGATTCGGTTTAGAGAACAGAGAGGATTATATCATTTTCAAACAAAAACTTAAATTTCGATATGTGGTGTAAGTGCTTTTACATTTTAGATAATGAATGCATGTACATACATAATATGGATGTATGTAAACATCATATGCCAAACTATACAATAAATTACTTATGTACACAACGTATGTATCTAGTCTCTCGTAAATAAAATTTACTGGCTAGCAATCTTTAAATGCAACTTTGTTGGGAACCATAACGTTGATAGTTCCTGGAAATATTCTTGCTTGTAACGACCCACATTCCATCCGTTCGCCATCTACTGTAAGAATACCACTATTTTCGTGTGGTTCTAAACGAAAGGCAACTACACGTTCTACAAGAATATACTCTGTATTTTGATTTGGTAAGTGAGTGCCAGAGCTCATGTTAATGAGAAAATTAAATAATTGCGATCTGCTTATGCCACCTCGTATCATTACCAGGTAAATTGTTCCATCGTTTAGTTTTGAATGTGGTGAGAAGAAACAATCACTACCCAAATGTGTTTGATAAACGGCATGGATCATAACAAATTCACCATCCTCGACAATCCATGTACTAGGTAATGGATCTTGAAGTGCTGGCAACGTTTTATCTTCTAATTGACCAAGCCGATTTCCACGATAATCGGACTGGCCTCCTTCGTCATGTTGATTTGATTCACAACAGTCGCTATTACCCGAAATACTGTGATAAACACTTTCGGCAATGGAATAATACGTGCTAACCCTTGATCCCGACGAAAGTATGCTATTACAACGAGAGCGAAAAGATTGATTTGCCACTGTTTCTAATGATATTACATCTTCAAAATCTACGCTTCCGTCATTTGATAAAGACTGCTTCCTTAATGGACATGGCGGTGGAAGTGTGTTACAACTCATACTGTGCTGCAGACTTATTTTAGATATTGTTTCTGGAGTATTTTGATCAGAACTACAATTTTTAGGTAAATATGATATTCTACCACGATATGTACGCAAATTTATTAAACGGTGTAATGTCCAAATTGTAAATCTTTGGTATCCTAATGGCCTCAAACGTTCGCTTTCGATATCGATGTCAGAAATTAGACCCCATCCAATTGATAGAAACGAATAAGCGATCTAAAAAATATAAATTATTTGAAGCACTAATTACACGGTGTGACAAAATTACAAACAAATCAATACACTCATCGCTAGACCTAGTGAAGTTAGTAGGTCTAGTAGAGTAGATTACAGCACCATTTTTAGAATCTTCAGTATACCCTAAAAATCGGAAGATATTGGGAAAAAACGCTTTTTGTTGACTAGACAGACCAAAAAAATTATATCTCAAATTTTTCTTAACCGATTTAATATTTTTCAACTGTTTTGAAAAGAGTTTCCTTTGTCCTTTTTAAAAAGTATACACACTTTTATATTTTTTACGGAAATGTATAAAATATTTAGATCTAAATACAAATTTGTATATTTTTTTAAATTTTTTTAGGATTCACGATAATTTTTAACCCACACTTTATTAGAAAACATATTTTTTAAATATTTTTTTATTTTAGCCCACGTTGATATCTGATAAAAACTGACAAATATAGAATTTTTTCGTAAAATAAAAAATTTACCAAATCTCTCATTTCTAAAGCAAATTATCAATTTGAATAATAAAGCTTATATTTGTGTTACATATCTTACGTTGATATTTTACTTCAGCAAAGAGAGATATGGCAAATTTTTGTTTTTACGAAAAAAATTCTATTTTCAGAGTATCACATTTTTAAATAAATGCAGGATCTCTGATTATGAACTGATTAAAAACTTATCCATGGATACTTAGTAGTTTACCTAGTTAACTACTAAGGTAAAAGATGATATATCGTTCTCCAGATACAGCCAAATCCCGATAATAAACAAAGGTTTTCTGTAATTTTTTCCTTTAAAATTTTTTCTATATACTTATTTGTACTTTTATTTTTATTTACGATTTTAATGCTGAAATATCTTATGTTTGTTAACTCATTCGATTTTATATTAAACTTTGTAGTATACTTTTTAAAAAGAACAAAGGAAACTCTTTTCAAAACAGTTCAAAAATATTAAATCTGTTAAGAAAATTTTGAGATATAATATTTTGGTCTGTCTAGTCAACAAAAAGCGTTTTTTCCAATATCTTCCGATTTATAGCGTATATTGAAGATTCTAAAAATGGTAAAATGATCTACTCATCTAGGTCTATAAAAAGCATTACATCGCGTAATGAGTGTTTTTTTTGAGTGTTACACAGTGTTATTAAAGTAAAAAAAAATACATACTCTATTATTCATTTCTATTTCAACAACATCCATAAGCGATGATTGGCCGCCAACAAGCGACAATGCTGCACCAATTATTGGTTTTGGTTCGTATGGCTCCCTGAAGAAATAAAATTAACGGAATTAATCTGGAATAGTTGTCAAAGGATTACTTAATGACTTTCAGGAACGTACCGATAACAATGAGCTATTGAACGGGCTAAGCCATTACCCGAACCGCATGGAACAATACCAAGTGCCAGAGTCTGTACAACTTCATTCCAATCGCTACGTTTAAGTATGCCATTTAAGACTTCGTGAAATAATCCATCGCCCCCAATAGCTACAATTCCACTCCAAATAGACAAATTTTTCTGACGTACAAAGTCGAAAGCATAGTTGGAATGTTTCGTAACATGAAGGTCGTACGGAACTTCTGCCTCATTGAGAATAGGAATGACTTGGTGATTGAATAGTTGACGTGCTTTTCCGGAACCAGACTTTGGATTCAGCAAAATAAGTAGACGTTTGGTTTCTATTGATTTTGCCGTCTTCCCGCATAATTCTTTACCTCTGGGGTTACTAAGTAACAAATGATTGTTTCTGTGATTTTTTAATGTCTTATACCATCTTTCAGCCTCTCGCATGTTATCCTCATGACTGTCGAATGAACGAAATCGTAATGTAATGACTGTGCGTTCACGGCGTACAGCATTCCTAAGATTCTTCTTAAGCATATATGCAAAGACATAAAGGTAGGCGTCTTCATTTTCATCACGATTTTTATGCTTTTCTGCGATGCTCGGTGTACACGATCCACATGTACCAGCTGCTCCGAAACTAGCAGACTTCTGAATCCAAACACACCGCCCGCCTATTATATCGCAAATATTTACTAGGTGGTCCTTATGACCTCCGCTTGAAGTGTCACGTTGCAAAAGTAATCCATTTGAGTTGAGGCGTACGTGGAAGACATTACCCTTCTTACTGTTTGAGTAAAATGTATCTCTTAACTCATTTGAAATTGAACATACATCGGATTTCTCAGAATCGTTTTCGATTTTTACTGAGATTCGTTGCATCTTATGAGTATTTGTTTAAAATTTCTTTTCATTTTTTTCTTGTTTTTGACAAGCTCATATAAATTGTTCTTTACTTGCTAATATTGTTTTTCAATACCTAAACAAAATATATATTAATACAGATTTATGCAAAAGACCAACACGTCACAGTTGTGTTGTCTATCAACAGAAAGATAAACGTATTATTACTGTCAAAGAGCATATAAAAAAGTTAATAAAAAGAAATTGAATCGATGCAATCACCTTTTTTACTCCTTAGAATATGTTTACAAGGTATATTAATTAAAGGCCCTTCACACGGTCACACTTTACGTACGACAAGTCTAATGAAAAAGTAAAATGAAATTCCATCCGTATGACAAAATAGAGAATAAAAGTCGTATGATTTATATTTTTGGTGTTTACACGATTGGTATAAAACAATAACAAAGTAAGATGGAACAGCTGTTTCACTTTTTTTGTATGCGTTTACATAAAAATACATCCCTGATCTAATGCGACTTGCTTGTTTTTTGAATCATTTCAAAAAATGAAGAGAGCCATACGACTGTCAAATTTTCCATCCGTATTTTCTCTCAATGTGTGATGGTTTCATTACATATTGCGTTTAGACGATCCCATCCGTTCTCTTCTACACAAAATTTTGACAGATCATATTACTTGTGTGCTCGTGTGAAGGGGGCTTTATAAGGTAGTATGATATATTAATTCTAAGGTAGTGTTAACAGCAATTAAAGTCTCATTTTTTTACAACAAAAACATTACGCTTTTCTCAATTTTCTTTTAAATGCTTCAAGGCTAAGGTATATTAATTTTATAAGGTAGTGTCATCGGCGAATTCAGAATACCGAGTGTATTGGTTATATTTTTTATATGTAGTTTGACATTGTGCCTGCACTTGAAGGCGAATTGGCTGTCAGGGAAAAATGTCAAAAACTGCTGACAAATAAATCAAAGCGAATTTTTGTTTTTGATTTTTGCAAAAAGCCAACATTGTGATATAGATATTGTGATATACTTGTTTTCAATTCCAAATTTTTGGAAAAACAATAATCTGTGATATTTTTTCTACGCTCAAGTCAAGAATTCTTAGTTTTAAGCTAGATATAATATTTATTAATTTAGATTCACTTTATTTTGTACATTATATACGATCTTAATATACCTCTATTTGTGTCCTTCATGATTAGTGTAGTCTATGTATATTTTGTATATATTGCTTCTACATGTTCGTCTATTGGTGTTGTTTACATGTGGATATAATTGTCTTATATTCATTTTGTGTTCATCCTGTTCTATCCTATATTTCTCTTATTTATTTTCTATTTTTCAATTCTATTTTTTCTGTATTATCCCCTCATTGTAATCTGTGTATATTATGTATATATTGTATCTACAAGTGAATGTCTAATATGTTGTACACGTCTAAATATGTATGCCATATATATGCTGTGTCCAATATTTCTTAAATTATGTTTTATTACTTGACATTTATGTATCTTAATATATGAACTGAAAATTTATAACGTTTTGATGAAAAGAAAACATAACACGAAAGTAAAAAAAAGAAAAAAAATTAATAAATAAAAATCTGAATTGAAAAAAAAGAAAAAAGATTTGCAAAGAAAGACACAAAATAAGAAAAAATTGAATGGGAAAAGAAAATAATAATAAATATGAATTGTCATTCTAGTTGAATGACATTTATATGAAGAAGAAGCGAATTTTTGTTAAACAAAATTTTTTTATAAATTTGAATCTGTTTGTAATTTAATTTGATGTTTTTAAAAGTAAAACTAATTTCATGTAGTATTATTATTGATTTTAAAACATAAACGAATTTAACAGCAAAACTGTGCCTTTAAATAACGTTTTCAGAAAGCCTTGAAAGCAAACAAACAAAGCAAAATGTTTCAGCAAAAATTTTACAATTGAACTGCCAACAATTATTGTCATTTATATAAAATTATAAATATTAAATGGATATTTGTCATTAACAAAATGAAAACAAAGTTTGACATTTACAAAATGTAAACAAAGTTTGACATTTATTCTACACCACTGCGAAAAATGAACATAGTCGCAAAAAACGATCAGCTGTTCTGATAACACTACCTTACAAGGCGAATTCAGATAAGGTGGTGGCAGTTCTGCAACAACAACATTTTACATGTATTTTGTTTTTGCATTTGGTTTACGTAGATGTCAAAAACCATAAGTACGGCGAATTCATTTGATGAAAAATTTTTGTAAAAAGTTTATATTTTATTAAAAAATAAAGATAAATATATTAAAATTTGTGAGGAAAATATATTCTGAATTGAATAATGTTTGTTTCAAACGAAAAATTCTATTCCGGCAGATTAATTTGCAAAATTGAAGTGAGTGCCTGAAGTTAAGTAAAACTTAATTTTTTGTGAAAAATAAACCTAACAAAGTACATATTCACGAAAATATTATATTACGAATGAATGAATATTTGTTGCGAATAGATAATTCTACTGCGGCGGAGTAATTTTCATTATTCGGCCATAATGTAGTAGCCGCCGGACGGGTAAATACCTCATATGGGTTTTGTTTTATAAAGCGTTCCGGAACAGACTTTCTTAATATTAAGTGTTCCGGAAGAGATTTTTTTTAGTTAATCACGTTATTTACACAATTTTAATATAAAATATAAAAAAATATTGTGTAATATGTTAACATTTAATAGAAATAAATATTTTTCTAAAATAACATATTTGTATACATACCAATTATGCCATTATTTAAATAAAATGATATTTGTTTACTTGATGCTTAGTATTTTCAGATTTTTTACATAAATAATTCAAAATATTAACGAAGTTTTTTTCGTTTAACCGACAATAACAAACTTTGACAGCTACGTAAACCAGGCGAATTAAGATAAAAATAATCTGCTGATTGAATAACACCATCTTATATGAATTCGCCTTGACTACCTTATAATTTATATATCTTGGTCAAGGCGAATAGATTATAAGGTGAAGTTATTTCATTTTGCGGCGAATTCATTAAATTTTTTATATATGGAATTTGACAGCGTCGGTTTTGAGAGAGAATTTTTTTATATGGAGATTGACAGCGTCGGGCTAAATTTCCATGGACAAAAAAAAAATAATCAGCTGTTGAAATGACTTCACCTTATTAGTTTCGCGAATTCAGATAAGGTGGTATATTATATTAATTTTATAAGGTAGTGTCATCGGCGAATTCAGAATATCGAGCGAATTGGTTATATTTTTTATATGTAGTTTGACATTGTGCCTACACTTAAAGGCGAATTGGCTGTCAGGGAAAATTATCAAAAGCAGCTGACAAATAAATCAAAGCGAATTTTTGATAAACTAATTTTTATAAATTGGAATCTGTTTGTAATTTAATTAGATGTTTTAAAAAATAAGACTAATTTAAATGAAAACAAAGTTTGACATTTACAAAATGTAAACAAAGTTTGATATTTATGCTACACCGCGGCGAAAAATGAACATAGTAGCTAAAAACTATCAGCTGTTCTGATAACACTACCTTATAATCAGAGTATGAAAACAAACGAAACATTTCGCAAACGTTTCCATAATGTACAAAACTTTTCAACATTTTTAAATCGTTTTGTACATGAGCAAAACTAAACAAATACTTTTTAAGAGCGAAAACAAAACAATTGGCTTTTCGCTCATCTACTTGCTTTTGTTTGCCTTTACAATAGTACATTTGAAAACAAAACAAATGCCGAAACGTATTATATGAAAGAATCATAAAGTGTGTGTGTAGATTTCATTTAATTTGTACGGTTTTTATTTTGTTTTTGTTTGTATTACTACTGTATTCCACATAGGCATCTACAAAAACTTAAACCTACAAGTCTTCTTTTAATTTTGCTCAAAAAAGTTTTTGTAATGAGCAAAACCATCAGGAAACGTTTGCGAAAATGTTCCGCTCAAAAATTTTCAGTTTTTTTGTTTTCTTTTCTAGCTGCGTACATTTGAGTTAATGAACATGATGTGCTCAAAAGCAAAAACAATACAAAACCAAATGAGAAAGTCGATTTTGTTGTTTTGGTTTTGTTTCTCTTTTACTCACTGCAAAGATCAAAACAAAACAATTGCAAACGTTTCGTTTATTTTCGTACTCTGCTTATAATTAATATATCTTGGTCATGGCGAAACTAATAAAGTGAAGTCATTTCAACAGCTGATTGTTTTTTTGTCCATGGAAATTTAGCCCGAAGTTGTCAAACTCAATATAAAAAAAATTCTCTCTCAAACCCGATGCTGTCAAACTACATATATAAAAAATTTCATGAATTCGCCGCAAAATGAAATGACTTCACCTTATAGTCTATTCGCCTTGATCTTGGTGGTGGCAGTGCGGCAACAACAAAATTTTCCATGTAATTTGTTTTTGCATTTGGAATTCATTTAATGAAAATATTTTGTGAAATTGTTATATTTTATAAAAAAATACACATACAAATATTTAATGTTGTCAAGATAATATACCCTGAGTATAATAATGTTTGTTCCAAATGAAAAATTCTACTCCGGCAAATTAATTTTGCAATACTTAAGTTTGTGCCCAAAATTATGAAAAATTTATATTTTTGTGAAAAATAAACATAAAAACGTAAAAATTTACGGAAAAATTATATACCGAATGAAAGAATCTTTGTAGTAAATTGAATATTTTACTCCGGCGGAGCAATTTTTAAGATTTACACGTTGTATTCAGCTGCCGCCGGACGGGTAATACCTCATATGGATTTTGTTATAAAAAGCATTTCGGAACAGAATTTTGTTAGTTAGAGCGTGTGCCAAATGATAGCAAAGTTCTATGGTGGATTGTAATTTTCCTATGGTGGGAACATTTTTACATTTTGCTGTGCCAAACGATATTATTTTTGATTACATTAAATGTTTACAATTGTCACTAATTTCACAAGAAAATCTGCATTTATTTTAATAAATGAAACACTTTTATAGATTTTTTTATTATTAAAATAAATTTCTACAATCACAAATGTATTTTAAACTAAAATTATAAAATATTTTATTTTTTGTATTTTCAAATTTTTCTTTTCATTTGTCAAAAATTTATATAGCCCGATGAGCTAGAAAAATTTTATTCACCTCATATCGATCAAAAATTTACATTTTCAAGTAAATTGTTACCGATTGGCACACACTCTTAATCACATTATATACACAGTGTAATTATAAAAGAATTTATTAAATTTTTTTTTTAGATCTCAAAATTTGACCATCACATAGAAGACAGCTGCCGCCGGTCGCGTAAATACCTCATGTGGGGTTTTATATAAAGTGTTCCGGAACAGAAGTTTTTTAGTTTTAGAAGTTTTTCTCTGTTTTAACGGATATTTTTATATATAAAAATGTAAACATTTATTATTTTTTCTTCACTTGACTGGTACGCACTGATGTCAGAGTTTGTTATTGTTTACATTTTTATATTTAAAAATTATTGTTAAAACACAGAAAAACTTCGTTAGTATTTTGAATAATTTATGTAAAAAATCTGAAAATACCAAGCATTTTGCAAACAAATATTTTTCTTATACAAAAAATAAATAATTGGTACGCATATACAAACTTAATATAAAAATAATATTTTTTCTATTAAATGTTAACAAATTAGACAATATTGTTTTATATTTTATATTTACACTTTGTAGTTAACGCGATTAACCAAAAAAATTCTGTTCCGGAACATTTAATATAAAAAACCCACTTGAGGTATTTACCCGAGCAACGGCAGTTGTCTTCTACGTTATGGTCAAATTTTCAGATCTAAAAGAAAAATTAATAAATTGTTTTATATTTACACTGTGTATATAATGTGATTAACTAACAAAATTCTGTTCCGGAACTCATTTTATAACAAAACCGATATGAGGTATTTATCCGTCCGGCGGCAGCTGACTACAACGTGTAAATCTTAAAAATTACTCCGAGGGTGTAGAATTTTCCATTCACAACAAAGATTCTTTCATTCGGTACATACTTTTTCCATATAGTTTTATATTTTTATGTTTATTATCACAAAACTACTAATTTTACATAATTTTGGGCAAAAACTAAAGTTTTGTAAAATTAATCTGCCGGAATAGAATATTTCATTTGGAACAAATATTTTTCCACTCAGGGTATATTATCTTCACAAATTTAGGTATTTTTATGTGCATTTTTATAAAGTATAAAAATTTCACAAAATATTTTCATTAAATGAATTCGCCGCAATTATTGTTTTTGACATCAGTGCAAGGCGAATTCATATAAGGTGGTGTTATTCATCAGCTGATTATTTTTTCTTCACTTGACTGCACTTGACGCACTGATGTCAGAGTTTGTTATTGTTTACATTTTTATATTTAAAAATTTCCGAGAGAAAAACTTCGTTAGTATTTTGAATAATTTATGTTAAAAATCTGAAAATACAAAGTATGAATAATTGGTACGCATGTACAAACTTAATATAACAATATTAACAAATTAAACAATATTGTTTTATATTTACACTTTGTAGTTAACGCGATTAACCAACAAATTCTGTTCCGGAACATTTTATATAAAGAACCCACATGAGGTATTTACCCGACCGGCGGCAGCTGTCTTCTACGTAATGGTCAAATTTTCAGATCTAAAAAAAGTTTAAGAAATTGTTTTATAATTACATATAATGTGATTAACTAACAAAATTCTGTTCCGGAACGCTTTTTATAACAAAATTCATATGAGTAGAATTTTCCATTTACAACAAAGATTCTTTCATTCGGTATATAATTTTTACAAAAATATTAATTTTACATAATTTTGGGCACAAACTTAAGTTTTTCAAAATTAATCTGCCGGAGTAGAATTTTTCATTTGGAACAAACATTGTTCCACTCAGGGTATATTATATTCACAAATTTTAATATTTTTATGTATATTTTTAATAAAATATAAAAATTTTACAAAATATTTTCATTAAATGAATTCGCCGCAATTTTTTTTTTTGACATCAGTGCGTACCAAATGTAAAAACAAATTACATTGAAAATTTTGTTGTTGTCGAACTGCCACCACCTTATCTGAATTCGCCTTGCATCAGTGCGTACCAAATGCAAAAACAAATTACATGTAAAATTTTGTTGTTGCGGAACTGCAGCCACCGTATCTTAATTCGCCTTAGGCACAACCTTATCTGAATTCGACCAAGGTATATTAATTTTATAAGGTAGTGTCATTGGCGAATTCAGTATACCAAGCGAATTGGTTATATTTTTTTATATGTAGTTTGACATTGTGCCTGCACTTGAAGGCGAATTGTCTGTAAGGGAAAAATTTCAAAAACAAACAAATAAATCAAAGCGAATTTAAATTAAACAAAAAATGTTTATAAATTTGAATCTGTTTATAATTTATTTTGATATTTTAACTTTTAAAGATTAAAAACACAAAAATATACCCTAATCACACAATTTCACTTTAATCACAAAATTTACATATACAAAATGAAACCAGTTTGACATTAACAAAATGAAAACAAAGTTTGACATTTACAAAATGTAAACAAAGTTTGACATTAATTATACACCACGGGGAAAACGATCAGCTGTTCTGATAACACTACCTTATAATTAATATATTTTGAATTCGACATTCCAAATGCAAAAACAAAATACATGTAAAATGTTGTTGTTGCATAACTTTCACCACCTTATCTGAATTCGCTTGGCCAATCATGTCATTCAGTACGTAATTGGGGGTCGAATGATGAATGTGAGCGTGAATGACGAATAATAATAACGAATAATAATCATGTGACAGAGGCGTCACGAGCAAGAAAACTATTTCTATCTCTTCATGCACAAGTTTCACAAAAGCTAGATAACATCTGATTTTAGACTTTTTTAAATGTCAAAGGTGACACCTCTGTATACTTTGTGACGGGGTATGAGGATGTTGGATGAAAGTAATAATTGATATGTTTTAAATAATAAAATATTTAAATAACAAATTCGAATAAGAGAGAAGAAATTTTTTCAAATCTGGCAAGCCTATTTGAAAGCTTTCGATGTAGTTGAATGAATTCTCATGAAGGTGAAGGGTATAAAAATAAACAGTTGAAATAAAAATAGTTTTCGTGAGTTTAAAAATAAATCTCATGAAAATGAGTTACATAACAAGAGAAATAAATAAAATTGAATTGCGAAACAAAAATTTCGTACTCTGGTAGACAATCCCTATTTGAAAATATTTGCTTTCATAATTCCACATTTTAATCTCTCGGACAGAGATGCAAGCCGAGACGGTTCAAATCGTAGGCGGCTGGCCGTCGGTAATATTTTGCAAGCCGCGCCGCCGCCGAATTCTTTCGGCTCAAAAGCTGAGCCGGCTTAAACGTAGCCGCTGATAAAGATTGAAATCGTACATGTATTTCAGAAAACCTAAAATTGTTGCGCCACCGACGCTGATCAGTTTGCATCGACTTGTATCTCTGCTCTCGGATTCCAGAAAATCGACTGAAAACTTATAAGTAGAGTCCGACCGAACTCAAAATTTCGTTCGGTACCGAACTTCGGTAAATTTGAAAGTTCGGCCGAACCCGAACTTTGTTCGGTTTTCAAAGTTCGGTGAACACGTACTTTTTTTAAATGAAAAATAATACTTTTTTATTTTTATTTTTAAACGATTTATTGACAATGATATAATTATCTGCAAGAGCACGCTGAGAAAAAACATGGTTGTGATAACCATGTTCTAAGAGCAAGATATTATGATTAAAATTATGATTGTAGTCTAAACATATTATCGTTATTGTAACAATTTTAAAATATCATATGATTAAATACCGTCAAAATATTTCATCATGATATTTTTTATTTATCATAATATTGTTATACATGATATTATGATCCAATGTGATCAAAATTTCGTTTTAAATATCTATATATATAATATGTAGATGAATTTTATCGAATCAGTAAAATTAGTTTTTAAAAAAATAAAAAATATATATACAATACTTAACACAATTCGCAAATTTCAATTTGCCAATTTATATGAAATTTTGGTTCATAAAAAAATGTAAGTAGGTATAATTTCATAAAAATACTAGTATTTTTAAGCCTGTTATGAACGTTAGTAATTTTCTAAAGCGAACATTATGTGGAGGCCATGTCCAAATGTAAACCGATTTTGTCCATTTTGAATACCAATCAAACTGCAACAATAGTTGTTCTTTCAAGAGACTGACTGACTGACAGACATGTCTAGATCGTTTGAGAATAAGAACGTAGAAAATTTCGATGTTACAAATGAAATCAAAGATTTATAATCGAAACTAGATAATTCAAATTTTTCTTTTCTTATCTTTTTAATCAGTTTCTGGTTAACAGTTTTTCATCTGCCGAAAAAACGCACGGTTAAAAAGGCGTTTTGTACCTATGTATATCCGAAATTTATTATACAGTCAGGATGTATGATAACTTATGTAAACAGATTTTCAGCATTTTTAAAACTTTTTGATGATATAAAAATATGATAAAAAAAAAACATTTTATAAAATGTTCGGCGTGTGGTGTTCGGTCAAAATTTCGCCGAACACCGAAAATTTCGCCGAACACCGAACACTTTTTACCGAACTCCGAACGTTCGGTCGGACACTACTTATAAGGCTTGAAGTCGTTTGTAAGGCGCCGCCGAAATTTTAGTGTCAGCTGCCGTCGTCGTTAATCGTCGTCGAAGGCTCAGGCAGCCAACTTGAAAATATCAGGGCACACTAAACAGGTATATGCATCACTACAACAATACAAAAACAACATGTATTTTGTTTTTGTAATCGTATGAGCTCAATGTTAAAATAAATAAAAACATTTTTTGATGTTTGTCTTTTAAAAAAATTCTTAATTTTATTTCAAAAAACATGCAGTGATTTTAAATGGAATTTTAAGGGATATGCATGTTTATATACTTATATTAAGCTGGATGCTATTGGTAAATGTTACAGAGGAATTGGCAGAGGACCTGGCAAAAGCAAGATTTTGGAATAACCAGATTTGTGCCACTAAATTTGTATCTTTAGCTACAAAAGTTTGGCAAACGAAAGTGGGTCAGGCATCGGGCGCAATACTAAAGATTGTTGATATCTGAATTGGCCTGTTTTGTGCCAATAAAGTTGTGTTGTGGCTACCAAAGTGTGGCTAAAGACAACAGCCTTCGCAACGTGCGCTATACGGGGAATAGTTGATATCTGGAATGACCTGATTTGTGCCATTAAAGTTCTATTCTAAACGGATGAAGTTTGGCTAAAGACAGCGGACCTCAGAAAGTGCGCAATGCGGAAGATGGTTGAAATGTATTTTTTGTGCAAACTATATTATTTTTTTTTTACAAACTAAACATTTTAAATTTTTTTATTATTAAAATTTTATTTTGTTTCAAATAAACAAAAACATATTTTGACAGAGAAGATATGCGAATAAGAAAAGAAAAAAATTATCAGCTGTTCGATTGCATATACCTGTTTAGTGTACACTGGAAAATATGAGTTTGGGCAGAGGACGAAGTCGAGCGGCTTTAGGTCGCGTTTAGTCGCCGCGAACTATCTGTTGTTGCTTTCGCCGCCGCCGAAACACACGGCTTAAGACGGCTAAATTTTTTTGTTTGGTTATCCACTAGGCCAAAGAAAATTAATAAAGTAGCGACACGAGTTGTTGTACAACAAACGTCTACAAAAACCACAGACAATTTGTTTTTGTTCGAAATACTCACTTGTCAAAATTTGTTTACAAAAATGAACCAATAATTAATGGAAAATATGGCATTATTGTTGTACTTTCCAAAAATATGTTGTTATTTATATTAAAAGTCACAGAGTTTTCTTTATTTTTTAAAAATTAGAACATTTTTAAAAATATTATACACTTAAAATACACTTTTTCACATTAAATACAACAAATTACTCAGAAATTTGTACAAAAGCAAGCGTTAAAATGAAAACAAATACGGCAACATAAACATTTTTGACAAGTAAGTCCACAAATAGCAAGTTTAAAAAAAATAGTCAGCTGTTCAAATGAGTCTACTTTATAAATTTACTTTGCACTTGGCCAGGGGTCGGCAAACTTTTGAGTCGGAAGAGCCAAAATTTATAGTTTACAAAACATATGTTTTAAAAGAGCCACAAAATTGTTGTTTATTAAAACTTTACAAATACTTTATGAATTCACTTCAAAAACATAAAGTTGGTTTAATTATCTACAGGACATTCTGCAAGGAATCTTATAGATTTTTGACTACAAATACTTTTTGAATTTTTATGGGTCATTCGAATGCATTTTTTAAACACTCGTTATATAAAAATATAGAATGTTATTAGAGTAGGGCGACAGTGTTATCAATTAAAAGGTATTTGGAAACATATCAGGAAATGTAAAATTCACGAAAATTGATGACGCAGCTAATACAGTATAAAGTAATATATTAATTTGGCGGCAATCGAGATAAATATTTTACCAACCCCAATATTAGGTCCTTTTCAGAAAATGACTAACGATCATAATTGACTTAACAGTAGCAATATATGTTGTATATTTTGAATATAGAAATTCAAAATATACAACTTTTATAAGAACAAAAATCTATCTTCCAAATTTGATTTTAACGTTCATAACTGTCTTAATAATAGCAGTATTATGACAAAATTCAACACAAACATAACGTAAACATAATTGACCAATCCCCTTTTAAAAGGTCTACTTCGGAAAATAACTTTAACGTTCATAACTGATCTAATTAACGCTCATAACATGCTTAATAATACCAGCATAGTGGTGCAATTCGTCATAAACAAGTTTATAGGAACAAAAATATCTGTACCAAATTTAATAAGGATGGATTCAGAATTGGCCCACCCATATAGTGTCCACTTTCGAAAACGACGAAAAATACAAGTATAGTGATGAAAATCAACACAAACAAGTAGGATCCAAAACTTCATTACCAAATTTTGTAAGGATGGGTCGGTCCATAATACGCTTTCTGGTACCTTATTTATAGCCAAAAATTGTATGTCAAAAATATATCAATCTTTTATAGATCACTGTAAAACGTTTATAAAACGCGCAATATTTAAATATTGAAGTTTTTAAATAGAACAAGTTTTTAGTATTTACCCAGCAAAAACTCGGTAATGGGTTGTACTTCCATAACCACTTACTTTTCAATAACTACTACTTACCGTCTGCATTACTTAGAAGTACTCTAGTAATGACTTTCTTATAATCTGATATAGAAGTACTTTATTTTCGGCTTTGTCATTTTGTTTGCATATTTTATTTAATTGCGTTTTAAGAATTGTGTTTTACAAAAAATAAAACAAAATTAATTTTGATTGTGAAAACCATTATTTGATGCGCAATAAAAAAGCTAAGGAGTGGTACAGTGTGTAGAACATTTGACTAAAAAATCGAAGTCCCTGGTTCGTATTCTAGCTGGATCTATTTATTATTAAAAAACAAAACAACTTACTCAACAACTGTTTTGTAAGAGAAATTGCAAGTACTTCTTTAACTTCCTATTGTAAGTACTTGCCTCCAATCACATCACCGTGTTAAAATAATGACTTAAAATGCTAATGAAGAAGTAGTGAAAAGAAATTTTATTAGCTTTTTAACTCATTACTTTTCAATGTAAGTTTTTCCTGGGTAACTGTGTTCAAACTCTCTACATTATTAAGTAATTATTTAATTACTATATTTTCAATTTCCAAAAAATATGTTTTAATTCGAAAAACACGAAAATTTCGGAATGTATGATTATGTTTTACATTTTATCTAATGGCACATCGTAAGAGCGCTCATGATACCCCATCGTTTATAGGGAACTTTTCAACTAAAAATTTAAATAATTAAAAATTTTCTTACAATACTAACTTGTACATGGAACAAATTCAATAGGAGAGATAGGTTTGTATAGCTTTAGAAAGTTTGGATCATAACGTGTTGTTTAAAGTTTCACAAACGACTCTAAACTTTCATTTGTTAGTTGTCTCACATACAGAACGATTAAACAAAGTTGAAATGTTGTGTATATTGCAGAAACGTTTGCAAATTGTTTTGTTAGTTTTAACAAACACTGCTCGTTAATCTATTCAGAAAGATATATATTTTTTATAAAATAAAAAAATTGCGTATGAAACTAAAGAGCCATAGCTCCACATCCAAAGAGCCGCATTTGGCTCGCGAGCCGTAGTTTGCCGACCCCTGCACTAGGCTATAGCCACAGGGTATACAGAGGCGTCACGAGCAAAAAACTATTTCCCTCTCTTTCGCACAAAACGAATTCAATAATTTTTTTAGCTGTATTTTATATACCTCTTCTCACCAAACAATTTCAAAATCAAACAAAAGCTGATTTTAGACTTTTTTAAATGTCAAAAGTGACAACTCTGTATACTTTGTGCTATTATTATTATTTAATTCATTACGAAATTGACATTCGTTCTATGTAATAAAATAAATTATTATTGACCCAAATGTATTATGAAAACGTACAAGATTTTTCACAAAGGATATATGTAACAAGCGATATTTTATAATTTTTAATATATTTGTTGTTCAATTATTTATATGAATGTGATCGTCTCAATGCATATAGTTATTTCGATTAAAATTTATTTATGTATGCATTCTATTTTACATCAATTATAATGTGCTAAAAAGGAATTTTATTTAAAAGATAAATTTTATTAATGATAAATGAATTATTAAATATGATTTTAAATTAAAAATTTTCGAAAGTTTCTGTAATTCCCGCATCGAGAAAATCTGTCGCAAAATTTATTATCATCTTGTGTAAAACGGGGTGAATACATGAAATTTAAACATTTCTTATTTAATTTTAATGAGTACAGTTTAAAAATAATCAGAGTCACACTGTTAAAAACTGAAAGACTATTATATTTTAAGTTTTTTCTCGATTCGAGAAAAACAGAAACGTGGTAGAGGGTATACTGAATACAAGGTGACATCACTAGCCCAGCTGATTGTTGTTTATAATTTTTTATTCATAACTGCCGGTCCACACTAGGAAACTTTTTTTGGAAACTTTTGATTTTGCGTGAGAGAGAAAGAATATCATTCATCTCTCTCGTGGTACGGAGCAAAGTATATTAATAAAGTAGCGACATCTCTTGTTGTACAACAACATCTACAACAGCCACATGTATTTTCCCAGCAGTTCGACGAGACAGTCCCGAACTGACCACTTAACCTACCACTTGTGGTGGCCCCTAGCCACCTGACTACTCAGGTGACCGACCATTTTAACATGGGCTTGTCCTACGAGGAAGTCAATCGTCACTCTACACCCTACAAAGAAACAGTAAAGAGACGATTGCCTCCGCTCTCGCTTACAAAGGGGACACTAAAGTGACGATTGTCTTTCGGAAGTAAAAAAAAAACTTTTAAGAGTATAATCTCTAAGTTACTTGAGGACAGTAAAAAGACGACTGTCTCCGCTCCCGCTTGCAAAGAGGACACTAAAGTGACGACTGTCTTCATTCTCGATTACAAAGGGTACATTCGTGACGAATGACCCAAAACATACGAATTACGATCATCCAGGTGGTTAACTATTAGTGGAAATTACTGTCTTTTTCGTATGCATTGACTCTTTGTCGAACTGCTGGGTTGTTTTTGGAATAATTTAAGATTGTGTCAAAATAAAATTTCCTTGAACAACAATGTGAACAAAACATAAATAAAAAATATTACTTTTAAGTTAAAAATATTAACGATTTATTTATATTATTATATATTATACAATTTATTATACTTTTAAACTACTTTAAAACCACTTTTAATTCACTTTTTCAACTTTTCACAAATTTTAACAAATAGCAAAACACAATTTAAAAATGGCGACGTAAACAATGTTAATAATTTTCAAAACAAACTTTGACAACTTGCTTCATTTATCTAGTTTAAAAAAAATAGTTAGCTGTTCAAGTGATGCTACTTTATTAATTTACTTTGGTACGGAGTTTCTCGTACTCGGAAACTTATTTTGTTTTGTTATTCTTTTCATTCGTGCAACAACAAATCAATGCAATTAATACGTAGTTTCTGAAACAAAAGTTTCTATCTGTGGACATTAAGGAAACTTCAAAAGAGAATTAAGAAAAAGTTTCTCAACAAAAGTTTCCTAGTGTGAACCAGGTCTAAGCGACATGACCACACATCAAATTTGTTGACTCAAACGGTAAGTTTTTTAATTGTGTTAGTGAAAAAAACTCACATGTATAAATGCGGTGTGAGTTTTTCACTAACACATTAAAAACCTTACCGTTTGAGTCAAACAATTTGATGTGTCGCCAAGGCGCTATAGACTAAATCTAGAAACGTTTGGAGCCTTTTTTATAAATCATTATTATTAAAATTTTAAGCAGATACTTGCTCCTCTCAGTCTTTTATTTTTGATATTTTTTTGAACATAAATTAAAATGTTCGGTTCTGAGCCGACAAGCCGCCGAATTATTTTAGCTCAGCCGTCGCCGCCGTCAATTTTAAGTCGACTTCGTCCTCTGAGTTTGAGTGAGTGATTGAATGAGTTAGAAACCACACACGTCCGCCCGTTAAAAACATTTAAGAAAAAAGAATTTATTATTGCAATAAGATTTTAAAATATTGTGTTGGGTTTATTTTTACCCAGAAGTTTAATGCGATGTATAAGTATGTTTGGAAAAAAGAAACCGTAAATTGATAAAGAAAACTCTGTGTTAAAATTAAAAAAAGAAAAAAATATATCCAATATCTCAGCACTGGTCTAAATAAATACATCGAGTGATTTGATGTTCTCTTTGTTCATTTTATCCATACATGTATGTATGTACATTTGTATGTTTATATGAATGTAATGTATGGAATCGTGTGAGAGAAATAAACACAAAATGAAAACATTAATAAGAAGCCAAAGTATAACTAAGAAGCGTAGACAAATAAATAAGTGATCGTCGTTATAGACTTCTTTTATGGTATGAATAAATTTCAATCCAACTATTCCGGTGGCCTCAAACTGAAGACATCGCGAAACTTTGACAACAACAAAGACACACAAAAGTATCTACTTTAAACATATGTATGTTCATTGTAGCAAAAGTATCTTTTTAAAATAAGTAGGTACTGTGTTGTTCATTTTATTTAAATTAATTTTCTGTATGATTTTTTTTCTATAAAGTTCAAATATATTCCGCCTGTTTATTTGTTTTCTACTATGTACTACGTATTACATATTTCATTTATCGTTTTCGTTGGGGGGAACGTGCATTGTTCAAGTATTTCTATCAGCAGTCTTTCTATGGCATATGAAGCAATTATTCAATTTTCGAGTTCAACAAAAAATACTTGAGAACTCCATGTACTTCATAGATTCATATGTACATACGCATTTCCAAAATCGCAAACATTTGCAAATTTACTCATATGAATTTATTATTATTTTTGTTTATTTTTCGTTGATACTTTTGTTGTCTATGTTTTTTGTTTGTATTTTATAAAATAAAAGCATTAATTATTTTATAATTTTTCAGCTAGCTCAAGTTTCTCGTGTGTAAAGAAATATAAACATTTAAAAAATATTAAAAAATAGAACAATTTTCTATATATTCCAATGACATGTGTAAATGTGAATGCGTCCGTACATATGGCTTTTAACATCATTTATTCATTGGCGTAACAATTTGTAACAGCAAACAGCTTCGATATACAACATAATTAATATACAAAGACAATAAAAATTAAGTGTAATGTGTGACACTAACAAACAGTTGTCTATTGATGCCAGCTGTAGTGGCGAAAGAGAGACAGGGCCTGGGATATGTGACAGCACATCTGATACAATATCTATGACATCAGATATTTCTGCTGATCAAATTGACCACCAAGTTGTTCTGCAACAACGTCATGAATATCAGCAACTACAAAATCAACAGAAATTACAACAAACAACACAATCACTGATGATGGCCAGCGCGATGTTAGTGGGTTGCTCAAATAATGTTGTGGGCGTCAATAATAATAGTAGCTGTATTACCTCCAACCCTAACAACAACAACATCAATAATGAAGGTGATATTTCACACAACAATAGTCATCTCCAGGGTCACTATAGTAGCTCCAACATTTTTGGATCTACTGACTCAATGAATGCGCCTTTAATGGCACTGCCTTTGAGTGTGATTCCTACAACCACAGCAATATCTAATAATAGAACACCGATTGGCCAAATAATGAATTCATCATCAAATTTAAAAACGATGCAAGTTAATGTGCACGAACTAATAATGGAAAATCAATCGCTACGTGATAAACTAAAAGAAATCACTGTGGATCGTGATCGACTATTATGTGAAGTATCTAACCTTCGAATGGAGCTCGATATGTTTGAACTGAAACGCTTGCCAGAGGAAAAGTAAGTAATTATTATTAAATAGTTTACATTATTAGGAATTAAGATTTTATTAAAATTTATATTAATATACATAATACAAATCGTCATATGAAATCCAAAAAGCCCTAGTTACATCGAACAAATTTTTCAAAATGATAAAATTTTCAATATTTTCTAAAGTTAAGCTTATTATTTATTGACAAATTGTATTTGAAGAAAAAATTGGGGTTTTTGTTTTACTTATGAAGATATGAAACAAAGAATATAATATGAAACTTATACCCTTGATAATTAGTTTTTTCTGAAACGCAAAAGGGCGTAAGTTACATAAAAAATAGTAAGTTTCAACATTTTAAACTAAATTAAAATCGGGATTTTATGATCAAATATGCCGAAACATGGAAAGCATAAGGCTACTTTGTTTTCATAAAGATTTTCGGAAATTTGCCGAAACATGGAAAGCATAAGGCTACTTTGTTTTCATAAAGATTTTCGGAAATTGGGATTTTTCTTTGAAAAAATTCTAAAGCTGTTAAAAAAAATCCATAAATCGCAAGGTTTCTCTAAAAGTGCCATTTATGTTTCATTTGAGCCAACTTATAACATTTTACAATTTCGATGTTAAAAATTCAAAAGAATTTTAAAATTTTCATGAATTTTAAGGTATTTTTAGAACATATCTTATAGGATTTCGAAGATGACGAAATGTTAAACATAAAAAATATTTTTAAGCTACTTTTATAGTATAGCCTTAGGATGGTGGCTATGTTTTTGTATGTTGTTATAATAGTGACGGTGCCTCGAATCAAAATAGAGAATATCAAAGTTGCCAAAGGGAGAAAATTTCCATATACCTATCTAATTTTTAGATAACTTGGCAAAATTGTTGTTTCTGTATTAATGTGCATATGTCAATCTAATTTTAATTAAGTCCAGAAAAATTTAATATTAATAGGACAGATCGAAAACATTTTAATGTAATGATTTATCTATACACAGAACAAATTCATGTCGAATTTTATCCGGATATAATCATTTAATAACGAATTAAGTTGTATTAAGTGATTTTCAGAAGTAAACCTTATATAGGAGCTAAGACAACTTATGGACCGACCGGAAAAAAATTCCGTAGAATGGTTTATATGCTCACAAAACATATTCAAGTCGAACTTTATCCTGATGGCTTTATTATTCAAAGAAATATATGCCTTTAAGTGATTTTCGCAAGTGGACCTTATGGAAAAAATTTCGTAGAGTGATTCATATAAAGACAAAACATATTTGTGTCGAATTTTATCATGATAACTTTATTTGACAATGAATTATGTGCATTTAAGTGATTTTCGGAAATGGGCCTTATATGGGAGCTATGACCAATAATTTACCGATCTGGGAAAAACGTGGTAGAATGATTTATATGTACACAAAACCTATTCAAGTCGAATTATATCCTTATACCTTTAAAATTTTATGAAATATATGCGTTTAAGTGATTTTCTGAAATGGACCTTATATGGGAGCTACGACCAATTATGGGCCTATCCGGAAAACATTTCGTAGAGTGATTCATACTTAGACAAAACATATTTGTGTCGAATTTTATAAAGATAGCTTTATTTGACAATGAAATATGTGCCTTTAAGTGATTTTCGGAAGTGGGCCTTATATGGGAGCTATAACCAATAATGAAACGAACCGTAAAAAATTTGGTAAATGATTTGTATGTACCCAAAATTATTTGTGTCGAATTTTATACCTATAGCTTTTGAATTCAATGAAATATATGCGTTTAAGTGATTTTCGGAAGTGGACCTTATATGGTATCTATGACCAATTATGGACCTAATCAGAAAAAAATTTTGTAGAGTGATTCATATTAAGACAAAACTTATTTGTGTGGAATTTTATCAAGATAGCTTAATTTGACAATGAAATATGTGCTTTTAAGTGATTTTCGGAAGTGGGCCTTATATAGGAACTATGACCAATAATGGTCTGATCGGTAAAAAAATTGGTAGAATGATTTGTATGTACACAAAACATATCTGTTTCGAAATTCATCACAATAGCTTTATTTATCAATGAAATATGTCCGTTTAGGTGATTTTCGGAGGTGAACCTATGACCAATTGTGGATCGACTGAGATCTACGTTGATAGTATGATTTCTGTTCATATTATATTTGCATGTACAAAATTTTGTGTTGATACCGATATTTTTGGGGGAGTTATTAACGATAAACTAATTTCCGAGAATATATACCTTTGTATGGGGGCTATGGGAAATATTGGATCGATTGTAAAGATTTTGAACATAAGTAATCAAATCATTTATTAATCAATAAAAATAAAAATAAATGTAAAGTAATATATTACATATTAAAATAATTTGCTATTATAACTTAGGCCGGAATATACAATTCTGGTTTTTAGGTGCCTATCACTGATCAAATCATTTAAAATTACACTGACTGAAAAACAAAGTTACTTCCTAATAAAGCCATAAAAGAGTTTAAGTTGCGCTTATCGCGACCTTTTTTTAAAGTTGCTTTTATAAAGAGTGTAATGTTAAAAAAAATAGGCCGTTGCGCAAATCGGTCAGTTGCAATAATAGGTAGTTGCGTAAATCGAGCTCGCACTGTTCTTTGTTGGGTCTTAAATGAATATTTCTTGGTGTTACGCACGGAACGACAAACTTATATACCCTCTATCACCAATGATGATGGTGGAGGGTATAAAAAGCTGTAAAATTAATGTCCCTTTTTGGCCAAAGACTAAAAGAAGTTTTCCAATTTCAACTAAATTTCATATCTTATTGTATATGAATGGTAAACATTAAAGGTATTCACGTCACGGTTTTTTCTTTTGCTATATGATATTGACGATGGAAGTACAATACAAAACATAATGGATTTTAAAACTTAATGAAAAATTTAGCTATGTATTTAATTTTTGTTTTCCAAAAATGTTTATCTAGTCACGATTGATTTCTCAATAATAGCAAAGCACATTTATATATTCTTAGACATATTGCAATCAAAATTCATATAAAAAATTGACATTAACACAATTTCTCTAAGATGCATTCAATTCAGTATTCCTTCAGGTCAGATTACAATGACACTAAATTACGAATTCTTAAAGATCTGGAGTAAAACTCCGGTAACCAGTATTGACTTGAGTTTGATAACATAAAAATATCTTTTCCGATGCACTTTCGCACAATAAAAAAGTTGTCGGGAATATCTTTAATAAATTTATTTTTGGTATGTTATTTTTTGTGTATCTTTAAAGAGAAGTAAGAGGCTAAAAGTCACCATGAAGGTTACAAAAATCAGTTTTATAGAAATAAGTATCTCGCTTATTGTGATTCCTATAGATTGCACGGATAATGACTTTGTTATAATTTTTACGTTGTTCATAAGCTGTTACTATATACTTATGTATTATTATGTGTGTATCTTAGAATCACTCTATGGCCCATGGGTCATGGTGAAAATCTATCTATCCGTAATTTGAGATAGTGTCACAGGCCATAATTGTCAATAAAATTAAAAAAAGTTATAGCTACAATTCACAATTTGGAGTAATATTAGGTTTGTTCGCGTACTTTCCAGTAAAAAATATTCAGTAACTTTATGATAGAGAGTAATTTTTAACTTACTCTGAATCAAAAACATATCAAAAAAAAAAAAAAAAAAAAAAAAACATCCAACAACGCCAACTTGTAAAAAATTTGAAGTTTTTGTTTATAAACAAAGATTAGTAATGCTCTTTTGCTGAAATATCAATCGCTTACAAAACACTTAAAAACAAACAATTGAAAATTTAAATGGATATTTAAAGTTAACAAAACGTGTAATATCATTAAAAATATATTATTGTTTTAAAAAATCTCTTTCAACGAACTGTCATTTTTATCGCTCTCTTACTATCGTTGCAAGTTTTCAAAAGTACGCGAACGGAACCCAGTTACAAATATTATTAAAATCAGACTTTAGCTTTAAATATTTTATAGCCATTTATAAATTTTGAAAAAAGTAAAAACAGTATACATTAAAATTAGAAACAAATTAAAGCCGGTTCTCTATATTGGAATATATGTCCGCCTAATAAGTGAAATATTCGTAAAAAACATATTTTTTTGACCTTTGACCGCCAATATCTCACTTACCACTTATTTTTACAAATTCAAAACCAAGCCCTTGGTTAGTGGATTATTTTATTGATTTCCATATCGAAAATGGGTTTTTGCTGGATTGTGGATAAAAAAATATGTATATTTTCGTAAAGCTGAGATTTTTTAAAACATCGATTACACCGTTCAACAAATTGGGATAAATTGTTGCACACATGCACAAGACCATATATGTTGGAAACTACATATGTACTTGATGTAGTTGTACAACATTTTCAGTTTTTTATTTTCTGATCGTTTTCTCCTTTAAAAGCACTAAAGTTTGAAAGGAATAGTAGGTAAGTATAATTATTTTTAGCTAAAATTTGATTTGGTCTATTAGGTCAATATGGGTATCGATTGAAAGTATTCAGTATTCTTACGAATAAAAAAATACTTTATTTTATGGTGGCGTGTCGGTTATGCCGAATAATTCGACCATATCTATAATTTTCGGACTAATGATTGCCAATTAGCAATAACGTTATTCCAGCCTTTTTTATTCGTTGATATACCTAACTTTTGTATTTTTTAAGAAAAACTATAAACATCTATATAATTTAGAATAATTTAATGGATATCAATTGAAAGTGGTAAATACCAACATTCTTCCAGAGAAAGTATTTTTAACATCACATGATAATAAATTATTATACTTTTATATCCTACAAAGTTTTCGAAACTGTTAGTTTTTTAATTATATCGTAAAGAAAATGACATTCCGTTTCACATTGTCAAATTTCATATTTTTATTCATATTACACCGTACGACAAAAAGAGAAAAAATCGTTAGATACGAACCGGATGATATATATAAATTTGTTGATCCTGACAGAATAAGATAA